AATATTGTCATGATGTGGTTACTATAATCGTAACTATATCGTAGCAATTTTATATTAATATATAAAAAAAATTGTACTAATTTGGTAACAATCTAGTAACTACTTATTCACAATATTATTAAAAAATTACAAATTTCTGTAAAGAATTTGAATGAATTTTACAAAAACTGAGTAGGTAATAATTATGACTTTAACTTACAAATACTTGTTCTTGAACTTGATATAAATTACCAAAGTAGACTAGGTAATATAATAATAGTGAGTATCAGACTGCTCTAGCAGATGATGCATTTAAAGATAAATTGGTTAACCAAGCTGGTAGTCCTATAGATAGTTTATAATGATCTTAGAACTTAGACTGACTAATGTATCACATGTTTTGAGTAAGATTAGATGCATAATTTAAATAATAGTAAGTTATAAATATAACATTTAGTGTAGAATCTAATAATAGGCTGACTACTTAAATTAGACACTAAAAAGGTGCAGGTATAGCTAGAATATACTCTTGTTAGAATACTGTATACTTGTTTGAAACCTTTTTGAAAAAAACACCATATAATTCTATAATCTAATAAAAGTGATAAGCCAAAAAAACTAACTTTGACTATAAAAAAATAAAAAAAAAAGATTTTTATTTAAATTAGAGTTGGGTTAAAATTATAATAAATAATGAACTTTAAAGTAAAATTTAGCAAGAAATTTTTTTACTTATAACACCAAAGATGGTTTCTTAAGTTAGATTTTGTATTATAAGTAATTTTTCATAAAAAAAAAATTTTTGTTATATAAAGAAAATTTGCAAATCATGCTAATTCTGCAACTTTGATTGGTTAGATACAAGGCTGTGAATTTCACAGGCTGTTAAGATTAGCAATACTCTTAAAAATATACATAGATTTTATTTTTAATATTTCTTTGTTTGTAAATCTTTTATTAATACAGTATATACTTTTTTGAAGAGGTAATCAAAAATTCATGAATAAAAGGGTATCCAAACCATAAACTTATAATAAAAGCCTTCAATCTGATTACCTTAGTTGACCCGAATAGCTTTGCTGACCGGATAACTTGACATGAATAATTCTGATAACTCGGTTAATTCGGTTGGCTCAGCTATTAATTGACCTGACTAGCTTAGTTGACCCAGCTAATTCGGTTGACCTAGCTCATTCGGCTGGCACGGGTCAACTGATAAGACCGAAATAATACGGTTGAGCCGATTGTATTTGGGTAAGTTAACTCAGTTAACCGATTACATATATTGATAAAATCCTACACGTGCTTTGCTACGTGAATAGATCTACATACTCGTGTAACATTAACAGATCATGTGTATAATAAATTTTTGTCTCAATTACAAAGTTCAGAAGCGTATACTAACTTTAAGAAAATGTCAAACCTTGTAATTCTAGATTCCGACAGTCAACAATCAATAATGGACGAAGTAGAAATTCCTCAGTTTTGTGGCATGTAATTTTTATAGTCTATTATTTTTTCCATTTCGAAGAATTTATATAATTTAATATTGAAAAATGATCCTTTTCATAGATGCAAGCGCGAGGCTTCGAAATATACGTGTCCACGGTGTAATCTCAAATATTGCTCACTGAATTGTTATAAAAATGATGTATTTCCCTACTTTTATTATTGCTCTTATTAATGTTCAATGTAGTGTTTAATCCAGTTTTATGATTTTATGATTTTAGACTCACTCCGAATGCACAGAAACATTTTACAAAGATAACATTATGGATGAGATCAAAAGTCAACGCGCCAATGAAGACGATAAAAAAAAAATGATTGACATGTTACGAAGGTTTGAACAAGAAAGTGATGAAATGTCGAGAGAGGCAATGGAAATGGTGGATGAAGGTTTGTTTTTTTTCTTTTTTGTTATATATTACGGTTGATCTTTTACATTTTTTGTTCGATCTTTATAGATTATGATGATATTACTGATCGGTTTAATGGCTTGGATATTGGTAAGTCTTATAAGGTTGTCAATTCTTTAATTTACTATTATTATCATCAGCTTATTTTTATTTCCCATTTGCAGATTCTGCCGACATTGAAACAATCTGGGGCAAACTGACGCCGCAGGAACGTGCTGAATTTCAACAAAAATTTATTGATGGCAAACCTGAAAACTTTCTGGAACTTATTGACGAGTTACCATTATGGAAACCATGGTGGGAACATAGTGTTAGTGACAAGATAGTAGAAATTTTACCTCAAGACAGAGAAGATGAAACTCAATTATCAGAATATTCTCAAAAAAAGTTTAATGATAATTTATCGCAGAGACCACAGATACTGTCAGATATAAAAAGAATTGAAGTGCTAACAAAGAAATCTCCCAATCCTGCTCTGGCTTTGAACCTTATAAATATTTTGTATCCTAGTATTCACTAATCGAGATGGATAGCATATTATATTTTCCTTTATATGTAAAATCCTTAACTCTTAATAATCAATAGGTATGTATACGCGTACGTCTGCCGAATGTTTAACGGTTCAATTCACGAAAATGCCCAAGATTCGATAAACATACTTTGGGAACTATCCCCTATTTTGGATACTACAGAAAATTTGGTGTTTCAGAGTGTAGATGAGGCCATCATGGCTAGCACCATCATAACCATTCAAGTACAGTTTGGAGACTACTTTACTATTTAAACTTTTTGTTCAACTAAAATCTAATTCATATTAATACATTAATATATATAGAATCCGAAATACACGCAACCTTCTGGATTTCAGTCCTTAGTCTTAGGTGATATTGTTTGTTTACTTACATCTATGGACATTGTGCTTGCTGCACTCTCAGAGCTCCATCGAC